CAACACAGGCAGCCCGGGGTTGTGGCAGCATCACACGAGACCCACTGTTCCCTTTATGAAGAGTATAGATAGTAGTAGAAGAAGAAAGAAAGAAAAGAAGGAAAACATAATGCCGTGAGACCATCTGCAGCCATCAGATGACTAAGTACTAGAAGAGCGACCTAGATACTTGGCGCAGATAGTAAACACGACGTTTTACTCCCTCGTCTCTTTTCCCTTTTTGTTTCTCATCCTTTCTTTTCTTTTTCCTTTTGATACCGACCCCACGACGTGTGACTGTCCCATAACCTGATGAGAGGGAACTCGGCGCGCAGTAGAAAAGACCACGCCAGTCCCTCTACCTTCGCATCCCTGGGCGAGCCAGGCGGCTACCACGAGCACAGGCAAGTTGTGCTCTAGTGTAGCAGGGGGCCGAGCCTGCGTGGACCAAAGGAAAGCCCAGTGGTGCACCCCCCTTCTTTTTACCAGTGAGAGTGCCAGCGCAACAGGCCGCGCACAAGATGAGCCTGGCATACTGCCGAGGGCTGTGAACGGAGTGTGTCTGGTACACCACGGAGGGCTGGGACACCGTGTCCTCCGACACCGGTCGGACCGGCCGGCGGGTCGGCCCAGTTCGTCCCCGGTTGCCCCCAGCGCATTTTAGCTGCGGGCCAATTTTTTTTGTTTTTGAGCCCGTAGCATGATTTCCGCGGCATCTTGGAGGCAGCCTCCACCCCCCACTTTAACAACCGGGTCTGCTGGGCTCGTCGTTTTGGAGGCAAAGAGGCGGCTGATCTCGACCGCTGACCATCGCAGATCAGGGGCCAAGATCAGCCGCTTCTTTGTTTCCATTCGGGTGGGAAAAGGTTGCCGCTTGGTTTCTAACGTGCAACGGGGAAGAAAGCATCATTCCTCCAACCCCCATCAACGGCCAGCAGACCGAGGCCACCCGTCCGCGCGTTCCAGATGTGCCAGTGACGTGCAGCCATCGCGCCCCAAACCAGTGAGCTGAGCCATCAACTCCAAAAGCCAGCCGTGCCATTGCGCTCCTCGCCAACGAGCCATGCAATCATGCCCCCTGCCCCGGTCTGCCTTCTTCTTCCTTTTCTTCTTTTCTTCTCCTTCACCTTGTTTCTTCTTCTTTTTCCCCCTTCTTTTCTTGTTACTCAGGTTTTCTTTTCTTCTTTTCTTCTTTTTCTTCTTCCACTTCTTTCCTTGTGTCTTCTTCATCGTCGGCTCCTGCTCTTCTCCTTCTTCTTCCACTCCGCTGTTATGATCCGGGCCAATTTCGAAGTACATGTTCATGAGAAAGTAAAATGCCGTCCAATTGCAAAAAGAAATGAATGACTTGAGAGGAGAGAGAGTGAAAGAAGAAGAAGAAGATGTACACCAGCAAAGACCAATGAGAATTCCCACTCCTGATCTCCTCCCCTCTTATTCAAACAAGAAAAAATAGTAATAATGTTGAATGGCTGAACCAGAATCAATGTCCGAATCCCTCTTCTACTGCAGGTATCACATGAGGTCCATCATAGCCATGGCCACCCTTCTTCCTCCTTCCTCCAAGGCCGAGGCTATGGCGGACGACCAGGGCCTGGCCCTGCTATGCGAAGGACAACACAAAGAAGCTATGGCTGCTTTAGCTCAGGCCACCATGCCTGACTCTCCCTCGAAGCTTCTTGGTGTATGATACGTGCTCAGTCGAGCGATGTATTGGGAACCAAGGATCTGCAAAGTGATGAAAAGGACTCGAATGGACAATGCAGTGTCAGCAAAGCATCAACAAGCAATGTACATCCAGATACATATGAAAATAGCACAATGTAGCGCAGCGGAGTATTCAAAAGTATGACTTGATCTATCAGATACCGACGCGACACCCCATCGTACACCACACATATGAGAGAGAGAGGAGGGACCGCATACATAGACGAAAAGTTCCTCCTTGATCACACACATGGGGAGGTACCACTGATGAGGAGATGGGAGGGAGAGGCAAGACGAAGATGGAGATGAGGGAGAAGACCAACATCACGGTAGCGAAGTCCAGAAATAGTCTCCCTGCCGAATTTCCAATCAATGTCTGCCACAAAATGTCGAACCAGATCCTGGGCCTCACGGCCCGATGTAACCTCTGCCTGTAACCTCTCTCTCTGAAGAAGAAGAAGAAGGAGGAGGAAGGAGGAGAGATGGAGGGCGAGAGAAGAAGAAGAAGAAGATGTAGGCCTCCTCGCTATCTCACCTGCCGCTAGCTGCCGGCATGTACTAACTGCCGCCGCATGCCTGAACAGACAGAAATAGGACAGCAAATAAATAAATAAATAGTTAAATAAATGAATGCTGCCGCAACTCGAAACCTGCGGCCCTAAGGCCGGCCGTGGGCCTCCAGGGCGCGCGTCTGAGGGGCATGCAGCCTGGGGACCTCCAGCAACCGTCAGGCCCCCAGAATGGGGCCTAAGTGCAGGCTCAGCATGTAACATGTAGCTCTACCCCAACTGGGGCCTTCCAGATGCAGCGCCCTCCAGGGTGATGAAGATGGCATCCACCATAGCTAAACAAGTACCTCTAGCCCTCCTCCTTCCTAGTCCTGGTCTTCTTCCTCCTCTTGTCCTTGCTCCTCCCCAGCAGCGTTGCTCTGATGCTAGCGCTGCTCCAGCCAGCGCTCCAACCAGTGTGTCGCCAAACTTGCGCACCGACAATGAGGAGGAGCGCCTCGTTCCTCGTGGAGATATAGCGGCCTGCTTGCCTCTTGGCGAGTGACTTCCTAGGGCGCGTGGCCTCCAAGCAACCGGTACCTCCTCCCTTTCAGAGGGAAACATCATTGCAGACTCTGATATTGCCCGTACAGGCCCTACACTCGGACTGGTTGGAATGGTACCTGCCTAGACCTATCCTACAACTACTGGGCCTCTAAAAATGCCAACTTTGTCTTCTTCTGCCTCAAGTCCTCGACACATCTACCTCTACCTGGTGTGGTACCGGCCTACCAGCTAGAGTGTTTTTCTGCTGCTTCAAATGCCGCGGGCCTCCCTCCCCGCCACTGAGTGTTTTCCCCCGGCAACTCTCAATGCCACGGCCACAGGTAAGTACCGGCCCTTCGGGCCTTTCACACGGACAAGTACCCTCACAGGTCACACACACTCAAACCGACAAACACTCAGACAGGCATGCAGACCAGCAAGCACGCACACGCTCAGACTGAGAAAACTCAGCAACAAGCGGGAAACTCAGCAAGGCATGCATTTCATTGGCAAAACTCAGAAATCAGCTGTGTCTCAGTCCGTGTTTGGCAGATCCTAACACCTTGTCTTCTTTTCTCCTCCTCCTCTTGTTCTTCTTCGACTTCTTTCACTCTTCTTCTGTTCTTCCCCTCCTCTTCTTCGTCTCCTTCCTCCTCTCTGCATCCTTCTCGTCTTCTTCCTCCCCTCTTCTTCTTCGTCTTCTTCCTTTCCTCTTTTTCGTCTTCTTCCTCATCTCTTCTCCCTTCTCGTCTTCTTCCCCCCCTCTTCTTCATCCTCTCCTCTTCTTCTTCGTCTTTTTCCTCCCCTCTTCTTCGTCTTCATCCTTTCCTCTTCTTCTTCCTCCTCTTCTTCTTTGTCTTCTCCCTCCCGTCCTCTTCTTTGTCTTCTCCTCCCCCTCCCCCTCCCCCCCAAAAGCACACCCCCAAGCACACCCCCCCAAACAAAACTCTCAATTTCGAATTTTGATTGCGGACTCTGACAGATCTTGGTGAGCGCAGTTGGATCCCACAAAAAAAAAAAAAAAATGCTCATTTTTTGGGCCATCCGGTTTACTTGAATCCCCTGGGCCAGTCCTGCCCCGGTTGGAGCGGCCCAGCTCAGCTGGCCGGTTGCTGGCCCAGCCCTGCTGTAGAAGGGTTTAGCTATGAAGTCATGAAAAACCTTTTTAAAACATATGAAAAATGATTTGCACAAAAATTAACATGATAGCGTAGCCAAGATCTTTAGACGGGCCGGACTCTGAAAAAAGGAAAAGAAAAGGAGGGGCCTGGCTGTGGCCGCATGGTGGATTTGGTTCTGAGTGAGGGTGAGCTCCAGATACTCGCTCAGAATTGTGCAACCCGCAGTCTTTCCATTGGGAATCCTTCAGATTGAACTCTGCAAGAAGGAAAAGAAAAGAAGAGAAAACAAAACAAAACAAAACAAAACAAAACAAAAGCCTCTTGGGCAGTGACTTCCAGGCAGCACGGCCACGAAGCAACCAGCACCTCCTCCCTTTCGCAGGGAAACATCATTGCAGACCTGATATCTACAACTACAGGCTCTAGACTCTACCTAGTGGACTTCTACAACTAAAGGTACTGACTTTTTGTCTTCTTCTGCTTGGCCTGCCGCTACTCGAGTGCCACCGGTACCGACACTACGCTGCTCGAGTGCGCCCTAAGGTACCCCTTCGGTCACTTTTGAGTGTTATTCCCCACTGCAACACTCAAAGTCACGGCCACAGGGAAGTACCAGCCCCGCGGGCCTCCCAAACAAGTAAGTGCCGGGCTACACACACACTCAGGACGATAAATGCGCAGACAGGCACACAAACCAGCACGCACGCACACACACAGACTTAGAAAACTCAGCAGTACGCGGGAATCTCAGCAAGGCCTACATTCCAGCGGCAAAACTCAGAAATCAGCAGTGTTCTCAGTCCGTGTTTTTTTTGCAGGTCCTTGCAAATTTTCAAATTGTTTTCTTTTACTTGTACAGTTTCTCAATTTGTGTATCATCCCTGCCTGCGGGCTATGGTAGTTTTCTCTCTGGAGTTCCATCCAATCTTAATGAATGTCCAGAAAGGACAGTTGTGTTTGTGTTGCGAACTGAATGCTGCTGTCTTCAGCGGAGTCGAATTGTTAGTCATTTGGGGCAACTTTCAGTCTAGATGCAGCGGCAAGGACTGGGCGTTCTGCTCAGGTGGAAGCGGTAGCGTGTGATAAGAGTTACTGATGATGAAAAGTCAGGGCTATGATCTGACCTGACACGAGCTATCTGGATGTCTTCTGAGTGCAGCACAGCTAGGTAATAGGGCAGACGCAGCACGGACAAGGGAGACACTTTATCTTCTGGCAGTTGGGCATTTCCGCTCAGGCGACTACGCACGGAGTCGAAATCTCCTTCAACAGGCTCTGCAGGTAGAGAGTCAGCTTGTCCGGCCACCCTCGTATACGTCCATCTGCGTGCTTTATAGTGCTGGTTCGTTTCAAAACTTTCCGCCCCAAGACAAAGGATAATCCGATAATCTTTGTCAGGATCTGAGTCAGCAGGATGTCAACCACCACAGAGAGGTCCGTACCTTGGACTGCGATCAATGAGGGACAAAATCCATCCCCCACATCTGTGGCTGTTTCCTACGTTTCTTATCTCCTGTATGCAGAGACCCTTGGATGCATTCACATGTTTAGACTGTGATTTGTGCCTATGCTGTACCTTCTGAGAAGTATGTTGGAAAGCCACCGTTAGGCTCGGAACGCAAAACCTATACTTGGCATGTTTAAGGGATATACCTCTGGTTTGGCCTTCCAGGGAATGAGGGGCATGCTAGGCAGTCAAATAGGGACATGTTAGAGGCTCCCCATGTTGACAAGGGGGTTATGGATGACTGTGTCCTTTTGTTTGCCTCTTCTCATGGTCCTCGTCAAACCTGGAGCGGCGGGGTGCCAATTTT